CCCTGCCCCGGTTTCCACCGTGTTCCCAGGGTAGGTGCCCCCGCCTGCCCGGGCCGGTTCCCACCGCTTCTCTTGCTTTGCTTGCAGACGATCGGAGCCGCTTTTGTGGCCAAGGTGATGACCGTGGGGGACCAGACCGTGACCCTGGGCATCTGGGTAAGTGCAGGGCTGTGCCAGCGCCCCGCTGACATCCCTGACCACCCCTGGTGAGGGACCCGGGACCCTCCGACCCTGTCACTTGCCTGTCGCCCCCAGGACACGGCGGGCTCGGAGCGCTATGAGGCCATGAGCCGCATCTACTACCGGGGAGCCCGGGCTGCCGTGGTCTGCTACGGTAAGGGCACGGGGAATGGAAGGGGAAGGAGCTGGAGGCTGTAAAGGGCCCGGGCCGGGGTGGTGGTGGTGCCACCGGTGGGTCGGGCACTGAGGGGCAGTGTCACCAGACCCGATTGCTCCCCCCAGATCTCACCGACAGTGGCAGTTTCCAGCGAGCCAAGTTCTGGGTGAACGAGCTGCAGAACTGTGAGGAGGTACAGGGGTCTGGGGGCTGTGAGGACGAAGGGGGCTCTGGTGGTGGGGACCATCCCTCCCATCCCTGTTCCCGCCGCAGGGCTGCCGGATCTACCTGTGTGGCACCAAGAGCGACCTGCTGGAGGAGGACAGGAGGAAGAGGGGGGTTGACTTCCACGACGTGCAGGACTACGCTGATGGTACGGGCGGTGCTCGCCCTTCCCGGGCCCAGGAGCTTTGAGTGGGTGGGGAGTGAGGGAGGGTTGAGCTGCTGTTCCCACACGAGGAGCTCTGCCCTTGCCGTGGGCCCGCAGCAGGTCCAATGGCACCGGAGCTCCCTGTATGGTGAGGCACGGGCTCTGCCAGGGACCTCCCTGGGCACGGCGTGTCCTGACAGGGGCAGGCTCGTGGCCAGCTGGGCCAAGGGGCCGGGAGCCCTGCCCTGTGTCCCTGCCAGCCTGCTGTCAGCAGCTGTGCCCAAGGGGTGACTCTGGGGCAGACATGCCCATGGAGCTCTATCTGCTGAACCTGCAGCAAGTGCCAACCTGGGTCCTCATTTCAGAGATCAAAGCAGACCTCTTTGAGACCTCCAGTAAAACGGGCCAGAGTGTGGGTGAGTAGGTCTTTGCTGGGGCTGTGTCCTGGCTGAGCTGGGGACTCTGTCTGCCAGGGGGGCACCCACACCTGCCATACCTCCTCTGCCCCCAGATGAGCTGTTCCAAAAGGTGGCCGAGGACTACGTCAACTTCTCCGCCTTTCAGGTGATGACAGGTGAGTAGGCAGGAGCTGTCCCTCCCCTGGCGCCCTTCCCTGTGCCTCTGGGTGCAGAGCATGAGCTCTGGGGGTCTGGCAGTGCTTCCCTTGGGGCTGCTGTGGCTCCATGCCAGGGATTGTCTCACAGAGTTTGAGTTCCATCGCAGCATCCTCCTGCCTGCTCAGGCCAGGCTCAGCACATCCACCCAGCTGGCCCATGGTGACCTTTGGCAGCTGGGAGCCTTGCTGTGCTGCAGGACCAGCCCTGCCCAGGCATGCTCAGCCTGGCTGTGCCTCCTGCCCTGGGCTGGGCCGTGCTGTGTGAGCCGTGCCATGACCCTGAACCTCAGCACTTCTCCACGGGGCACCAAACCCTCCCCAGGGCACCTGCCCACAGCTGGGACCAGCAGCTTTGGTGGCGTGGACGTGCCAGCAGCCTGTCACTCCCGCTCTCTTCCAGAGGACAAGGGCGTCAACCTGAGCCAGAGGAACAGTCCCTACTTCTACAGCTGCTGCCACCACTGAGCCCCCGTGCCAAAAGGGAATTGCTGCTGCCGGACGGGCAGCTGGCGCTCACCGGACTGCTCCGGGTTTTTACCTGCTGTGTTTTAGCTGTTGGGCCTGGCTCCAGCCCAGCCTCCGGACTGCTCTCCTGGCACACAGAGCGGCACAGCGCTGCCGTGCCCGGCCAGGAACCATGGACTGTCACTCTGGGCACCCCCTCCCTGCCACCTGTGGTGTTTGTGGGAGCTGTGGTGGCCCAGCAGTGGCCAGTAACTTATTCTCTCAGAGATGCTCGATTCTTTGCAGATTTATTTAAGCGTCTTCTCTCGAGGTGTACAATGTAAATAAAACGCGTTGTGGTCTGAGCCGTACCCCCCTGCGCGCCAGGCCCTCAGGGCTCTCCCTTCCCTGCCTCCCCCCACTCAGCAAGACAAACCACAAGAGGACATCGAGAGTAAAGTTAAACTTTACTTTACAGTAATTTTTCTTCTATATACAAAGAATTACAGTACATGTTCTGGGAGCACCTGGGCAGGGCAACCCTCTTTTCATGATAAGTTTCACATACACAGCCAACAGTCTAAGGGGAGCAAAATGAAAGTAATCAATGGTCCAAGACTCTCCCCTCTCCCTCTTCTAAAAATAATATACATGCTGGAAATATGTAGTTTACTCTCACCTGCTCTGGCATTCCTTCTTACAACTGACAGATGACTCCAGGCCAGGGCTGAGCACCCCTTTGTCCCCCCTGCAGTGCTCTGGTGCTGGCCTCTGCCTTGGCTGGGATCCTCGACTCCTGATGTGTTTCCCTGTGCCTGAGCCTGCAGAACAGGACCCTGTGGGGGACCCCCATTCACCACCACCCTGTGGGCAGCAGATCTCAGAGGGGAAGGAAGGCAGCATGGGGCTGCTCACACCGAGGTTCTTCCCACAAGCAAACCTCTCACTCATGGCTCCAGCACTTTTGCTGCTACCATGAGTGTCCCACCATGTCCCCAGGCAGTGAGGAAGGGGCAGTGGGCAGCCTCCCTCCCCAGGACCCTTGGCCAGCTGGCAGCCAGGTCCACAGCTGGGAGCACACAGTGCTGGAGGGTGGCAGGGGACATTACCAGCGAGGCATGGTGCCCAGCATGGTCAGTGTCTCGGGGGCGAGCAGGCTGGTGGGGCAGTGAGCTCAGCACCACGGATATGCAGGGCTGGGAGCGCCACTGCTGAAAGGCATCCAGGGCCCCTGGCAGGGAGAGCCACTCCCTGCCTGCCCCCCTGCTGCCAACACATCTCACATCTCACCTCCCACCCACACCAGCCGGGGCCACCCTCAGCTCCAGCCACGCTCCACCTTGAGCCTCCCGGTGCTTGCGGCTTTTCCTTTCAACAAGTTCCCAGTGTCTACAAAAAATACACAAAACCCAGTTCCTTGAAGTCAACAACTCGGAAACATCAGAAAAAGAAACAAAAACTGAAACCAGCTCAGTACCAAACGGACACGAAGAACATGCAGTAGCGGATGCCTGCTTGCTTCACGTGGCTCCACGGGCTCCCCAGGGGCTCAGTGGCACACTGCTTTAGTCTCAACACCACCATAAACTGAAGGAACCGAGTCACTCCTTGCCCTGTTTCAGTCACAAGGAGTGCTGAAGCCCGGCCCCAGCTCCAGGGGGATGGGATTAGCTGGCCAAGAAGCCCCAGCCCGAGGGCCAGGAGCCGTGAGTCCAGCCCTACTGTGCTAAGCTGCCAACGGTTTACAATAGCACCACAATAGCCCAAGGGCTTTGCCAAGGGCAAACATGATTAAAACTTTACCTTGAAATAGGCCATAGCAACACCCATTTCTCAGATTTCCCTAGGAGGTAGATTCAGTGCTGTAGGGACTGTCCATCACTGCTGCTCCTCCAGCCCGAGCTCACACAACCTGTCCTGTTCCCCCGGCACCAAACTTTGCTCACATCACTTTTGTAGGACCCGGAGCAGGAATCTTGCATCCTCCCATCTCCTGCTAAGCAAGGGCACTGCCACTCCACAGCTGAGACTCCTGCTGAAGCCAGGCGTGTGGCAGAGCAGTCCCCAAGCTCCAGTGTCCCAGGCCCTGGGAGCCCCAAGCACCCATCAGCCCAGCTGTGCTGCCACCAGCGTTATCACTATCACAGGAGGGTGGGTAATAGAACGGGCAAAGCCTGGGAGATCAAACACAGCATCCCCCCCATACTTTCAGAGTAGCTGCACGATTTGCCACTTTGCTTTAACACTCACTGGCTAGCAAAGGCAAAAGCCTCA